AGCTTTGCAAGCCCGCTCAAGAAGCCACGTACATTGATACAAGGCACGCTGCCCCAGTCGTCACACGCTCCCATGTCATCTTTACTCTTTAAGGCTGGTCCTTTGCCCCAGCCAGAACATTTCTGGTATCCCCCAGTGGAATCCTTGAGAGGACCAAGATGCTGCCAACAATAAAAACATGGCCAGGATACTCTGGCACAATGAGAAAGCTATCGCAGGGTAGGATTCGTCTCACCTGGCACTGGATGGTACCAAGCAGACTTGGTATCAAGCCATCTCAAACCCTGTTTTATCAATGGAGAGACTGGCGCTACTGGAGCATGACCCACCTGGTTAATGATACCCCAGAAGTGTCCATGTCCTACCATGGGTGCAGACACTGCCCATGGCAATAAGCCTGAGCACATTGAGCTCTGAACATGGTGGCAAGCCAAGGAACTGTGTAGGAAATGATCCTGAGCTGACCTGTCACTAGTATGTATTTGAAGAGGAGGTGTGTATGAGACTTTCCTTCCTGAACATCTCCTGGGCTTTCTCCTCCTTGGCAGCCAATGGAATTACCCCAAGGTTTCCCAGAGCTGCCAGATTTTGCCCAGATTTAAGCAATGAAGATGAATCCAAGTGCAAAGCAACCCCAAGCCTTCAATGAGAGGAACGGCCTCGGTAAGGAGACAACAGTCACAAGCCCTGTGCAGGAGGTGGGGTGTGCAGACAGCTGCGATGGGGACACTAGACAGGGCTACCACCCCCTTTGGTCTGTCCCCAAACGGGACGTGGAGGTCCCTGCAGATACAGAACGCAAGTCAGGTCTGAGCACGAACCGCCTTCGCTTGTCAGGGCCCATTTGTTTGGGTGGGATGTTGTCCCAGCCACGTTCCCTTCAAGGAGGAGGAAGGATTTTTAGACACTGAGATAACTCGCTGGCTGGCACACAGCTCCCCGCTTCTTTCTTCAATTATTTTTTTTATAAAGCTCCAGCTGAGCAGAGCCTTTCAGTATGCAGGGCAGCACCAGCCATTCCAGCAGAGCTGCTTCGTCGGACACCAGCTGAGTGATGCTGAGAGACCTCCTCCATGGACCACGCTTCTGCTAACACCCCAGCATTGTCGCTGCGGGCCAGATCCCTTTTCTCCCAGCCCTGGCCCCTGCAGGGCAGCTGCCCCCAGCTAATTACCCCCTCCCTTAGCAGCATGCACTGATGAGACTTAGCTCCTGGCTGAAAACTCATCCCTGCAGTGCTGATTTATTAATAGGTGAGGGGGGGAGCAGTTCTCGCCCCTCTCTCCTGCCGACACACTAGATATCAATTTGGCAGCCAGCAGCAAATCCCATTAAGGCAGCGAGATACTTAAAGGCACCAGCAGCTCCGGGCCCGTCACAAGAACAAGGGGATGGATCCTGGTAATGTACATCTGAAACTGGTTGCATCCAACTGGGAGCAAGGTTCCTGCCGAGATAAATATTAAGAGAGTCTGCAAAGGCAGGGATATAAGGGAATAAGCTCGTTCATTAAATGACTTTGTCCCTATTCAAGGGACCAATGCAGGATTTTAACAGAGGAAACAGTGACAAGAAAACCCACGATGAAACTCCCCATGTATTTCCCTTTTGGGCCAAGAGAATCGAATTCACGGGTAGCCCCTCATGCCTAACATTTCCTTATCAGCCTACTAAAGCTCTGGCTGGCTTTTACATTTTCCAGATGAAAAAGGCAGAAGGTGGATGAGCAGAGGTTAAAACCAGAGCAATAATTTCCTCTGTGGATCTGTTATAGTTGTGCAGATCTGATCTGCAACAGCCCTATTTATTTTGCTTGTTCTGGAAACTCCAACAGACAACAGCGTGGCAACTCTGGGAAACCCTGAGGTGCATCCGCTCCCGGCAGAGAGGAGACCACCAGCCCTTTTGCCCCGTTAGGTCGGGCTGCGATCACAAGCTTGCTCTCTTAACAAGCCTCCTTGCTGCTCCATGCGTGACAGCCTGGCACTTGGTCTCGTTCCACATTTAGCTTCAGGGCACATACTCTTGCAAATACCACTCTGCAGGTCAGATCGCCCAGAAAGGATGCAATGAAGGTAGCACATAAAAAACCTCACACCTCTGACAGAGCTGTCCACCAATGCTTGGCTCTGCTACCTGCTAGGCTTTCATGTGCTGAGAACTAATTAGTCTTCCTCCACTCCCTGTGCCAAAACCATATTAACAAGATGCGTGCATGATGGAGGGAAGTCAGATTCCTACTGGTGCAACAGCTTTGCTGCCAAGTCGCTTCGCCTTCCTCTCTCTGTATGCCCCAAACCAGTCTCTGTCCTGCTGGGTAACAGAGCTGGAGATCCACCTCGGGAAAGCAAAACCCAAGAGCCTGGCGTTATCACTTCGCTGAGCATGGGAGCATCCTTCTCTGGCCTCCTGTCCTGTGCTCTGGGCACGCCGTCAGCAGCACAGCTCAAGACTGAGCACGTCTCCCAGATAAGCACGGGGTGTCCTGCCCACAAGGTCCATCTGAAAGCAGAGCTTTCGCTTTCCTGCACATAACCCAGAGGTTCAAATGAGGAAAGAGGCATCAAGATACTGCTCTGCAAGTGCCCCAGGGCCCCCAGCTCCTGGCATCACCGCTTTCTGCTGCGGCACAGTGCCACTAAAACCACAGCGCTGATGCCAACTGCTTCGCTCCTCAAGGCCTCCAAGTCAGCTCTGGCCACTAAATCCCCAATGGTGGCACTGCCAGGACACAAGAGCACACGGCTTCAAGACCGTCTTACATACCTGTCCCTACCGATAGGCACCCCAGAAGGTGCTGGGTCACCAGCCGATGCAGTGATCAATAGGTAGAGTGGACACCCTCTCCTGCCTCTGGTCGCAGATGCCACGCCACGGCATGTGACAGCCTTGGTCAGGCCACCAGTGGGGCAGAGCTGGTTGGTAAGGGGTGGGGTGGCTGTTTTGAAGGTCACACACTGCCTGCACCCCTCAGAGTTATCACTGGGGTACCCGAAGGGAAGTCAAACCAGGAAACCCTGAGTTAAATGGGGTTGCTGAAGCCCTCAGTGACTCTCACTTCCCACACAGGAGGGCAGAGCTTTTTTCCTGACCGTTTCTCCAAGCCCTCTCCGTCACCACAGAGAAGCTCCCCACCCCACACACGTACAGTCAAGTTGTGTTTGCCAGGAGACGAGCTCACAGGCGCTTTTGAGGGTCCTTTCCAGATCCGCACCCAGAGTTTTGCATCTGCGGATGCAGACTCATCTACCTGCCCCAGTCTCCCCCCACAAAAACTCACTTATGCATTTTTTTTTCCCCCTCCGCCCCTTTGAAATCAAAGATGTAAATTGAGAAGGAGACTCTGAATATTTGGAGAAGACAGTCCTACCCATCACCCACGGAGATGACTCTCGCTATGGAGAAGGCCCTGATTGTCACCGGTGCTGACTGCCACCAAGGGCTGCAGGCTTCAAGCAGGCAGGGAGGGCACAGAGCATTTCTGAAAACTACACTGCCGCTTTCTTCTTTCTTTTACAAGGTCAGATTTATTTTTTTTTTGGTGATGGTCACAGTCAGCAACACTGGCAAAAAGTCCGGTTTTGGAGCCTATTTAAGGACACAGGCACTGTTGCTGGGTAACATCTGATGGGAAATCCTGCCTGCATCCATCGGATTGCACAGAATCACATGCCACGTAGCTCTTAATGATTTTTGATGGATGATTTCCTCTAGGACTCACCAAAACTGGGCAAACTAACTTCAAGCTCCAGACTATTTTGTAGGAGAAAGTGGCACAAGTATCACCATGATGAGACAAAGTTTTGGGACTTTCTCTATTATTCTGCTCCTCTATGTTAAGCTGACCAGTAGAAAGAAAACATAAACCAATTCATTAACTCATCATGTAATTACTGTTTTATCAACTGATTTAAAAAGGCATATCTAACATAGCAATTTAAACTGGAAAAAAAATGTGATGACACTTGGTTTCAGACTGCAACATCAATAAAGTTGTAAGGCACAGTCATTTGGATCAACATCTCACAGTGTGCAGTCACTAAAACAGATGTTTGGAATCTCACCTGCATATAAAGCAAATGCCCTATTGAAAAAAACAAGAGATTATTCTCTTACTTCTCTGCCTTATCTTTGCGGCAGCATTACTAAAAATTATTTGGTCATATGAAAATGGAAAGTCTATTCAATCTAAAAACACCTAGAGGTGGGACGCCTGATTCTGAAGGCACATGCAGGGGATGTTCTGACACCTGTTACAGAGGTCAGCTCCGTTAATAAAATTCCGACATGCAATGATGATCCATAAGAAGCAAGAGAAATCCTTCCAGGTTAGCTACGGAGCAAACAAACATGTTAATATTGGGATGAGCCACTTGGTCTGCATTCCCTCCCACAGCGATGCAGGCAACAAGAACCTCGGATGCCGGTGAACGGGGTGAGCTCTTGTGGGGGCATAAGCTCCGAAACCACCCAGCCTTCCTGGGCTCTTCCTCGGGCAACGCACCTCTCCCTTACAACCCGCTCCGGTCAACGCTTTCCTCTCAAGCCCCTGGCTTTGTCCCTTGGATGTTAAACATCCAGGACTGCAAAAGATACATGGTGGAGCTGCTGCTAGGTCAGGCAGCTGAGCATGAGAGGGAATGCCCCGTGTCCCCCACCTCCATAAACCGCAGGGTCCACGCTCTGCTTGGGTCAGTGTCCCTGCCTGGGCATGGTGTGGATGAGAGGAAATACGTTAGGACTTGTTCTGGTTTTGTGCATGAAGGCTGCAAAAATAACCATGTTTTTCTGTAATAAGAGGTTGATTAGCTCTTCTGCTGAGCAGTGGGTGCTCTTTAAAGAAAGCATTTCTGGACCAGCTGTAGCCTTAATTGAGGCAAATCATGTAATTTGTTTGACAGCTCTGCGTTTAGCTTGCAGAAGAAGCTGAAAGATAGCATCGATCTTTCAAGACCGTGCTGTGTACATGGCTCCAACACACGCTGCCACCTCAGTATCTTCTAGGATCGAGAACTTTGCTTCTGAGATGTTGTTGAGGCAGTGGGTCTGTCTGGTAATGACTGCAGCCTGGCCCAAGCAGCGCTCTTCAGCCCAAACCTCTCCAAGGTTTTTGTGGATGAGCAGACAGCTGGCTGGGGGTGGTTGATCCCTCCAGGAGGGCTCTCATCCATTGTGGGCCTGAGGAAAAGAGAGAAACACCACGGTGAACTTGCACTCTGGGTCTGGATATCTGCATTCTTCCCACCAGCTCTGCTGTTGCCCATTGTGAAAACTGAACCGAAAGTTGCCAGGCCTGGGAGCAGCACAAGGTATGAGCTCCCTGCATATACCACTCTATAATGCCTACGTTAACTTCAAAATCAAGGTGTCAGGTCACAACTCCTCAGTTTTATTTCTTCAAAGAAGCAACACGATGCTGATCTTACAGTAAGAAGGTTCAGAAATAAGCATGTTTTGGTGCATGTGACATTTCTCTAATGCCTACTTTATTTTCTAAAGCTCTCTCTAAGAGGAATTAATGTAAGTTTCGAGGGAAAACACACTGAAGTGGGATGTCAGGAACTTGTCCTGGAGTTTACCCAAGGAAAGTCTTGAACAAGCACCACTACAAGAGCTCTGCAAAAGACACGGGCATCAGCCCCGCGTGGGGAACACAGGAAGGGAGCAGAAAGAACACAGGAAAATTCTGGGCTATTATTCAAGAAAATACAAAATTTCCAATGCTCAAGCTATAAGGAACATGAAAGAATGTTTCTTTTAGCATTAGACAGACAAAGGTAAATGTCAGCACAAATAAAAGTAGTTCTTTTTAAAGAACAGGCAGGAGGCTCCAGAGACAACACAGAAGTCTGCTTTTTCCTGCTGCAAAGTCCCTTCTGCTTTCCCCAGCCACGCTGCAGGCAGCACACATACCTGATGCTTGTCAATCCAACAGCTGCTGGTCCTGAAATAGGATTTTGCTGGCCAGCGCTCCCAGTTTTTGCAGGCTGGGGCTGCCCTTGGGATCTGAAGGCAGCCGACACGTTGCGCTGGCTCAGAAGAGCAAGTTCCTTGCCCAGAGCCTGGGCTGAAGTTTCTTGATGAACCCTTGACTGGCATCGCTGTGTCCACTGCCTGTCCTCCTCTCGGCTGGGTATTTTTAGGCATCTTACTCTGTGGCTCCTCATTTTGCAGGGTCTTGCTGTGACATCCATGACAGATGCAGGTGAAGGGCTTTTTGGAGGGGATGGAATTAGACAACGGTTTGGGTTGGAGAACACTACGCCTTCCTGAGCCTGTGATGAACCTGAAACAGGGGGGGGAGAAGTGCAGTGATTTACCAGTTCATCTTACTCCTAAATGGCCGACCCAGTGAGCGAAAGGTTTCGGAGAACGCTATGTGATGGAGCTGGGTGGGCAGATGTGTCCCGGGGCACACAGCGATGCTGGCCTTGTGGAATTGCTTCTTCTGACAGTTAGGGGTTTGGGTTACTTGGCAGCCTCCCTCCCAGTATCACTGGTGATGTGCCAAGCACTGGAGCTGCTCACTGGTGCACAGTTCCAGATCAGCTCGCCCATCCTCCTCTTCTCAGGCAGGATTCCTGCATCATTCCTGGCCAGTGTTTGCATTGACTTGTTTTAAATACCTGAAGACCCCATCCAGGGATCTGAAATTCAAGGCACAGGAATAATCACAGATGAGTGGATCCGTTTTATTTTTTTTTAATCAGAGGCAGAGGTTTAAGAACAAAATCTTGAGATTAGCCTTAAAATTACAGAAAGTGCCTGACTGCTCAGGAAAATATTGCATTAGGTGCAGGGCTACTATCTGATTGTTCATATTTTAGCCCATGTCATCCTCAGTGCAACATACAGAGAAGAAAAATCTTGTTGCTGAGTTATGAATATAATGTGCGTGCATATATATGCTTAAAACCATTCTATATATAGCAGGGATCCGATTGCTCCTGTCTATTAAAAGAACCAACAGTACCTAAGTGCCTGATGTGCAGGGTCCAGGGCAGGAACATAATCTAAAGAATGTGACACCAAAACCCAGGCCCAGAAAGTTCAGCTTTATAGCTCCTAATTGACGGGGATGTGTTTTACTGCTTAGGTAACCACATAAAACTGATATAAAGTTTTCACTGAACACTTTCCATCATACTATATGCTTTAAAAATGTCTAAATTTCATAGGGCTTTTTATTTGTTTTTAAGTAAGGACACTCTGAAAGACTGGTATGCCTGACTCAAGAGCCCGAAATAATGCTCAACAGCTTCCAAAGAGTGCAGATTATATGGATCTGATGCTGCAAACACTTTTACATAAGAGTGGTTTTGCTCAGAGTTTTTGCCCTTTCCTGGTCAGAAGAATTATTTCCAGCAACAAGTTCTTCTGTGAGAAAATCACATCGGGTAGGACACGCTTCTGAAGTTAAACGTCGAGGCATTTAAATACCTCTCCAGATCTTGACACGATCTCAAGTCACAGCGATCCAGTGTATTTTTAACTGCCTTGCTGAATAAAGTCTATCAGTTTTATCAGGTATTCGCTCTGCAAAACACATGATGTCTATTAGTGACAGTGGGAAAAGGCTACTGTGTTTATGATTATTTGAATCTTGGTTATTATGGCCAGCTGCTTGTGATTTGAGATCTGGGTCATCTCCTTAGGTAATACCAGATTTCAAACCACTCCATCCATCTTGTAACCAAATCCTAGCAGATTTGGTTACAAGATGGGCAGATCTGTGCCCCATTATTCACTTTCATAATCCTATAGGGCATGACACTGGTACACTGTGAGATGTTTGGGGCATTGTCTACTCAATCTACAAAGATGATGAGATCATAATAAATTATATGCAAGTTAAAGAAATCAGATTAAATCTAAAAAAGCTCAGATTAAATTTAAAGAGACCATGAGATCATAATCTAAGACTTCTGTGATCACTGGCCACTAGGTCATTCCTTTAGATTTTTCACAACAGCTTCAATTGTTATTAAGGAGATATTGTTTATATTACCGTTAATACACAGAGGCTTTGAATAGTTTAATGATACTTCCGGTTTTTCCAAAATATATTTTTCCAAATTTTAATAGATCCGTTTTTGCCCTTGAAAGAAATGTAAAACAAGAACTCACATGCTAATATTTACTGAGGCAAAAAAAAAAGTGATTATTAACAATAGAAATAGATTAAAGTTGTACTTTTATAAGCTCCTCTACTTGAAACGTGTTTGGAATAACCATTATGAACGTTTCTAATATTCTTAAATACAATATTCCACAAGGAGTGAAGAGCAGGAATTCCGCTTTCATTCATGTAAATGCAGTTCCAGAGAGGCCTTTGCCTTTGTTCCTGAGTAGAAGAGCACATTTCATTTTTAAACCCTTTCCTGAATGCATCCCTTTCGTTGCATATCTTCCCAGAATTCCCAGTTGCCCAGTTAAACCTTAATCATTAGCTCAGCCATTATTTCCATCAGTGCCAACTGGGGTAAAACACAACTCAGTCGGAACGACAGTATTTTAGATTCACTTGGCACTGCCATAAATTAATGACCCAAGGTAAAAGACAGAGGCATGGCCTTCCACTAGACCTGATGCTAAGTTGGTGTAAGATCAGCTTTGTTCATCTTAATTTTACAGAACCATGCTGAAATACATCAACTGATGGTCAACACAGCTGGCCACAATGTCCTGCTTAAAAACTAGAATGGATTATGTAGGGTCCGGCCGTGCAATGTTATTTCCAAATTGCTGCTCTAGAGCACAGAAGCCAGATCTTATAAAACACTGCAGTTACTAATACACCTATCTACAAACAGTTAGTAGCACGTGTCCCTACCCGATGCTAAGCTTTCCCCAGAGGTTTAGGTCCAGTACCTGAGGAAGACTGGGAGAGACAGGAGTGGCAAGAAGAATCAAGTGAAATCCTTTCAATGAGGTTCTCATCACAGGTCTTCTTCAACTCATCTTCACAGCTGCCAGTCAGGCTGCAGCCTTCACCCTCTTCTTCACGGCTAAGAGTTACCTTCAGTGCTTGGGTGGCTTTTTCTTGCTGATCTGTTTGCAGGCACCTGGAAAACATCAAGCATCACACCTTTAGTTAGCTTTTCAGTTGCAAATATGCAAAGCCAAGTGCAGAGGCAAACAGCCAGGCAGTGGATTTAGTCACTACTGTAATTTCCCACTTTCCTAGAGGCAGGGAAAACCATCCTAAATGGATCAGCCATCAAAGCTGACTGTGTCTGATTACCTGAAAGCGTCCTAAAGTTAATCAAGTGAAACAAGGCAGATTTAAAATACTACACAGTGAAGTAAGCTCAGAGAAATAAAGCCATTTTTTACTGCGGAAACAACCATTATCTGTCTATGAGATGGGGGAATCTCAGCAGGACATTATTTTCCTTTCAGCCTTTCATTCGGTTAGGCCAATGCGATGTTTGCAGAAAACCTCATCCGCTTTCACTTCTTTTACTGTTTGAAGATAGACACTGTCAGGGCCAAGAATGACTTACCAGTTATGAAAAGCCATTTCCTTGCTCTCGTTAAGCAAGCAAGCGAGCCTATGCTGCTCTGCAGCCTGGTCTAGAGAGAGGTCAGAGCTTCTCTCAGATTTTTTTCCCCCTTGCCCACCCCACAGATGCTTCAGAACTGATGGAAGAAGGATTGGTACTACAGGGACAGGAGGGCAGGTGGCCAAGACTATCCCCTGAAACCACCACCAGATGGCCAAAAAGAGTTTATTTTATTATTACTGTAGAAAACGAATGCCCGTTTTATTGCACAACAAGATTTCGCCCGTCATCTCACCGCTTGTGCTGCTCTCTCCGTACTCTCAGTTCAGAGAATGCATCTTCCTGGTGCAGATTGCCTCCTCCTCCACAGCCGTAAAGGTTTTCCGTCCTCAGACCACGCAATTTCAAAGAACTCACTGCAGGTGGCTGCAAAAAATGACAGAAGTTATCTTGTTAACCTCAGGAACTCCACTTCTAGCTTGTGGATTTTAGAAAGCAGCAGAGTTCACTATTTGTCCTGAGTTTTCACATCACCCCTCACCATTTTCTTACTCTTCGGTTTTAAGAAGCCCCATACCCCAGTCGCATGCACTGTTACAGCCTGAGGAACCCAGGACAGCAGTAACAAAAATGTTGTCACTGGTGTATAAGCCCGTAGCATCTATACCAATAAACATATTAAGACCACCGAAATTGCATCATTCAGCATATGACCACAGTCCCCTTTCAGACCCTACTTTGTAACACACAGGAATTGCTTCAAATGTTCAAATTTCTTTCAGAAAAGTTTCCAGGGCTTGGACAGTGGCAGCAGAGAGACAAGGGAGGGACACATTTTTTCCAGTGGTTCTTTAACATCTGTTGTCAGCATTAAGTGAGGTTGCCGACAGCGCAGCGATGCAGGTGTCCTGTGCATGCCGTTTCTCTGATTTAGCACAGCCTGTTTAAATATATGCACGTGCATCCGTGCCGCGGTGAACCTCAGGGCCCACAAAAGCCAACCGTGACAAACCAGAGTGCATCCCGTGGGTATCTTCTCATTAAGTTACAGCCAAAATGAGCAGGCTGATCCGCAGGGCTGGGGTATCACCCCACCGCCAAGAGGACCAAACTTTGGCTTTGCGGGTTTTTATTTAGTCAATAGGAACGACCTTGCAGCATTAGCGATCTGACTGTTTACACCAACATCAAGGAAGCACTGCTGGAAAAAAATCTTTTGCTTAATAGCTGTTGTAGAAATACTGTCAAATTTTGCAATCCTGCCTTGCGCTTTGCTCAGCCAAGGAAATGTGCTGCCAGCAGCTGATACGTGATTTTCACGTGTTCCTTTACAGCTGATGGTTAATTGCTGCTAGCACATGGGCACCTTTGTAATATCAGGGCAAGAGACTCTCTGTCCTCCTCAGGGCCAATTGCATGTTGGGGAGCTTTTGGGCTACGGTGAGCCACCACAAGCCACAGTGGGAGCTCAGTTTATCCCAGGATTTATGGGGGTGACCAGGCAGAAATATGAAGTATACAAGAAAAACATACACCTAGCTTTTGCCTCCTTGCACAAAGGGCCTTGGTGGGGTTCCCACATATAACTTGACTGTGTCCTAAGAAAAAAAGAAAAAAGAAAATGCTTTACTCCAGCATTTAACAAATGGTGCTGTCTTTGAAATCAGTCAACGTCATTTCCTGTAGACAGGAAGATGTAATATTTCATGGCGTAGGCTCACCGTGTCAGCTGGCATGGCCTGACACTGCTGCTAAGAGGCAGTTTCTCCTTTTCTACCAGAATTTGTCTCCTTCTGGTCCTAGTCTGCCTTCTCCACTGTGCTGGTGCAAACATTTGGGTGGCCACATGGCGAGTCAGATCAGGGGATGGATCCATACTAAAACTAAATATGCTTTTGGGGGTTTTTCTGTTTGTTTGGTTTGCTGGGTTATTTTTCAGCTGGATCTCGATCAGAATCAGGTTCCCCATGTGGCTATGCAGATGCTCTTGCCAAAACAAGAGACAAGGCAGCAAAGGGGCAGGAAGAAGCAGTGAACATTGGGTGAAACTGTCTCTACCAGTAGTGCTAGCTACCTAAAAATGCACGTGAAATTATGGTCTCATTCCCTGGCAAGCTGTACTCGGTTTCCAATTACTTTTTTGAATGCGCACTCAGCTGTTGATGCTGCATTGCTTCATCTAGTTTATCATCCTGAGTCCTACCTACAGCAAGGAACTGAGGTGGGACTGGCATCTGAGAGAAGCAGCCCACAATGCTGGGAAAACAAAACACCATCTTCGTGGCTAATCTGTACTTTAGGGGTCGGTGGAGTTGCACCGTAAAGGTCTTTCCAGGAGCCTGGGAAAGATGTCTTGGGAAGTGCCAAATATTGTACCAGAAGTGAACTTCCCTTTCCATCCAGCTGTCCCCAGCTAACTTGGCGGTACTTCCAGGTGGCCAGGGCACGAAGGGCAGTGGTACATCCGTGTTTTGGGCTAACCTGCAGATCAGGTGTGTGAAAGGCAAGGAACTGACTCCTCTTGCTGAGGGATCCACTCCTGGAAACCCAAAAGAAAGTGCTCACTGACAGCAGCGATGCTGCGGTACATGCAGTTTGAGCATATGATCCAACGAGGAGTGAACGTGCATCACTACACCTTTCTAGAGGACTACCTTGGACCACATTCCTATGATTGAACAAGATAGGCCCAGATGTGACTTAACTGAGGCCCAGCTAGGCTGATGTGTAATTTAAAGGACTGAGCAGGACAGTTTTTGATGAGATGTGACAGGCAACTTCAGTAAGGGAGCACCACTGCGGTACGGGGCTGTCAAGAGGGACAGCAGTACGTAATGCACGGGGCTGAGGAGGGGGAAGCCCAGATGATTTGCACCTTCTGCTGCAGGGGGAAATAAAGGAGAACCCAGGCTAGAGCAGGTGCGTCCCATGGGAAAAAACATAGGCTGAACCTGATCTAGCAGCAGCATGGGTAGGTGGCATTCAAAGCACTCAGGCTTTCATCAGCAATAATAACATTCAGAAGGAGGTGGTGGTGTAGGAAAGAACGGGATTAAAAAGCATACATTACCGTGCGTCAAATCACTGGAATCATCTTCTGTGAACAGCTCACCAGAAGCAGTGGGATGTGGAAGAGGACAGCCACCGTACAAGAGGCAGGCATCGCTAGATCTCCCTGCATTAGCAGACAGCAGCACAGCTCCAGGTCTGGAAGTTGTCGGGGGTCTTGGGCCGCATCCAGACTGCCTTGCTACTGCCCCAAGGTATGGATCTAAGAGAGAGGTTTGGCTAATGTAAGGACAGCTGTGCAAGGCTTCAAACCACACCATCACCGTACACTGCCGACACGGTGACAGTTGCTGCACGCTTGGAGCTGCAGGGGACAGAAAAATATGTCATGGCAGCTACAAGAAACATGCTGGAATGAGTCAAGCCTGGAGACAGAGGGGTTCCTGGTGCTGCACACAGTCCCCCGTAGCTGTCCTCTGCAGACAGCAGAACCTGGGGACCCTCAACTAAACCAAAGTCCCTTCTCATCCTCCTCCTGCTCCTGGGTACCAGAGACCAGCTGCTGGCTGACTATGGGGTCAGGAATCGTGCCGTGCTCACCACCCATCTCCAATTGCCCCACAGGTGAGCCTGGATGTGTCAAGGGCTCTGCTACTTCCCCCACCTGCATGCCAAGGCTAAGAGTAAGCTGCCTTTCGTTTGCTGCCCATGTGCCTGCTTGCCACAAGCCCTCAGTCTTAAAATATATTGCTTAAATGCCCAGGCACAATGCAGATGGTGATGGCCACCTTCCCAGAACTATCAGGGTAAACCATGTACCAGGAGTTCTGGAAATCTGGGGATAGCTGTGACAGATTCCTCCAGTACTGCCACAGAAAGAAAGGTGAAAACTGAGTTTTCGTAATGCTGCAGGGCAAGGTTGATTATACAAAAGCTAGTGAAGGCAGACTTCTTCCCTGTCCTCTTCCCTGCCCAACCGCCGGCCGTCCTGGGAGCACAGCACAGTGTGTGCAGCCAACAATCCGTAGGAAAGCAAATTTAATTTCGGTGCCTAGATGAATACTACACTTTGTAAAGTGTTGAGCATCTACCAGCTCCAGAGTGGAGCAATCAGCTCTGTAATAATATGGCCATTTCCCTAAGAGCTGAGTGTTAGGGACCTTTAAAATATATTGGCCATAGTTGTTAATACAAACCCATGAAATAGAAAAGTACCCGAGTCAACACTGCTATGGAAAAGGCAAAAATATGGGGATGTCTGAACCCGACGATGTGAGCTCATCAGTTCAGAGCTGAAGGCAAGAATGTAAGTCTAGTTACACTAGGAAACAACACAAATTGTGCCCCGTCCTTACTGTTTCTGTCAGCTCGCTCTGTTAACTCGTTTTCTGAACCATAGCTCATGTTGCCAAAGCAGGATCATTGAGGGATCAGATTTTAATGGATTTTTTTCCCTACCATAACTACTATTACAACTAATGATTTGGACTCACTGGGATTAAATAAATGACAAACGTATGTACTTATTCCAAAACAAACTAAATTTTTAATGGAGTACAGTTGGCAGGCAAACCACAACTTGGAGGGGGGAGGCTGGGAAGCCAGCTGCATTGCCCACACTAATGGGGAGCAACAGGAGCAGTTATAGGAAATACTTTGTAATATTTAATGGTACGTGGTAAAGCGCATGTAGCATGATACATAAAAGCATGGACATCTGAACTATCGCCAAGGCTACCGGCAATGGGACAACAGATTTATTTTCAACCATTTACTCTCTACTAATGAATGTAATGGACTTAATCACAGAGGCAAAGAATATGGAACAGATCTCCTACGAGACCATGCAATCTCAGTTGCTAGGATGTTGCTGCCATTGAGGGGTGGTGACCAAATTGCCTTTCCTATTATTAAATTGCAGTAGAAAATCCTGCTACATCCATGCTACATGGGATTGACTGCTAGCACGGAAAGGGCTGTGAACAGCTGTTATTGAAAGATTCCTTTCCAAGCTTTGCTTCTTCTCATCGAGCAGAATGAACGCTAAGTACAGACTCCCAGCTACTGCTGGATTTTCTTGATGCTCCAGAAACAGTCTGCATTTTTCTGATCTTGATGCCTAATTTAGGACAGCTTTCATTTAAATCTACACCGTGCTGAACTCCAGCTTCCTCACTTCCCAAGTGAAGAAGACAACGTCCTTCATCCCTTTGCTATAATTAAACTTTGGCTTTGAAGAGGCCAGCTTGTTCTTCATCTTTCTTTTTCATGCATCATAACCAAAAAATGAACCCTGATAGGAAACCTGACATACCTAACCATGAAATGTCTCCAGCTAAACCACCTTTCTTGATGGATTCTTTGATGATTAGCCAATCCTCATGCATCTTCTTGGAAGGAGGGAGAGCAGTCTGGCTTGCTGGTATTTCATCCAAATACTCCAAGTGGGGAATGAATTTTTTCACTTCAGCTCTGTAATTATAATCTGGTTCCTGGAGAAATTGAGAAAGCAGTCACTTGAACAATTTGTTTAACAGTGTGGACTTACACCAGCAGCACAGCAGCGTTCAATTTGTATGACTGCCATATAACTTGAAACGCCTTCTACAAGGCAAACCTATTCACCTCCTTCGACAGAAATAAATACAGTCAGGAGTTTCATTTCACTGTGCTTTCTCCTCACAGAACTTCTACTTTATGTTAGCAATGCAAATGCATGTCCCCCACTCCTTTGGTGTTTACCCACCGATGACTTTGGTACTTGTCTTTATTATATTATGGATAATGTACAAAAGCATAGAAGGCCACGGATGCTCATGGAAAGCCTGGGCATCCTCAGTATTCAGCCAGCCTCTCTCCCTGTTTTGGTGATTCTCTGGTTGCTGCAGCAATACTGAGGTAATAAGAAGACTTGCAAACGTGGTATGAGTGTCGCTACACCTGCTGATGGAAAGAGAAAGAGCATTTCCATGGATCATGTTTGTAGGCACACCCATAAACCAGCTACAGTGAATGAACTGCACTGATCCTCTGAGGCTGTCTTCAGAGGTTCGGGGTGCGATTTTATACGCTGTTAGCAGTGATGGCTGACTTTAAACCATGTTTTCTTCTGCAAGAGGTCATATGCCAACAGGAGGTGCCCAGAGGGCTAAAGAGGACTGCGCTTGGGTTTCTTTTCCGCGGGCTGGAAAACCAACACGATTGCTCCCAATGCACGTGGACTCAGCGCGACAGCCATGGGGGAAAGCACGGGTGCAAGCCCCGTTTTGCGTGTGTGTGTGGAGCTGCCATGGTATAAAATGGTACACGAGCACATGTCGATGCCCGGGGACCTCTGAGCAGCAAGGTCAATCCAGAACAGTCACAGTTGTGCTCAGAGCACACTGTGAATTGGGCAGTTTTGGCGGATTCCAGCAGTAGAAAGACAACTTCACATGGTACCTTCGTCTTTGGAAAAACTTAGCAATGCCTCAGGGCTGACTGGGTCGTGCTCCTTTGGAATGGAGCTATTTTTGGTTAAAATAGCCTCAGATTACAAAAGGCAGCAAACAGTGATGGAGATCTCTTCTACTTAAAGTATACATCAAGAGTGCACTCCCAGTGGCAGAATATGAATGGACAGCTACCTACAAATCAATTGCTTCATCCAGATAAATGTTATGCTTTTCAAGAAATTGCATGCAATATTAGAAGCCAAGTCCTCATTCAATATGGAGCGGTCACAAAGAGAAATCTTTTGGTGGGCCCTGGCTGGTTGCACCCTCCCTCCCTCTGCCCAGCGCAGCACCGAGGCTGGCAGAGGGAACTCACCAAATAAAGAGTGGGTTTGTTGTTGTTAAGAGGCAGACACTAAATTTCTTTAACTAAGCTGTTAATCTTAATTTAGAAAATGAGTCAACCAATTGCCATGCTACCCCGTACCACACGTACTCGGAACAGAGCCTGGGCTACAGCCAATTTCCAGCCATGTTCTGTTGGAGCGAAGCATCATGTTATGCTCATGTTACATTACTGCAACAGAGGCTCCAGAATTTATCATCGGGTTGTTGCTCGTGGTTTAGATAACAGGGGAAGATGACCTCATCTGAAAATCAAATTACAGAGAGCAAACAGGCTGTCTGAAGAAAGAGCAGTAAATTTAGCTGCATCATTCTGTAGATTAAAAGGAAATAAATAGGAGAGCTTTCACAGAGCTGTAGCAAGGGCCAGACTACAAAAAGGAGCTTGAGGAATTAGAGCTGGCCACCCAGGGCCCACCAAAGTAAGCCCACATCTATTCTTTTCTCTATTTCAGGTGGCTTTTCTATATCCTGAAGAAACACAAACATGAGCTGAAATCAAGAAAGTGACAAAGCCCATGGAAAAGCTCTCAGCAGCCAAGGGCAGGGCCGGCTTTGTAACCACCCCAGGGCTGAGCACCTTCCCAATACGGAGACTGGGTGGGAGACTACGGTGAGCTTACAGCCTGCCTCTGATACAGCTCAATGTAAAACATCCTGTTGTTGCAGACTCCTTCAACAAATTCTGGCTGGCATTTGAATGCAACTAGTTGCAGAGGAGTAGAGACAGCCATCCAACGTGGATTGCACACCACCACCACGTACCACTCCTCTTTGAACTCCCGGTACGTGACAACACACAGCGGCATCCCAGGGACCGATTTCCTCAGCCAAATAAGCCAAGGGCAACCTGACATTTCTCCATTACATCTAAGGACTGAAGGCACCAAGTGAAAACTACGTTCTCCAAAAATACCACTTTCGTTGGTAGGGAGTAGAAACAGACTGTCTATTCTGTTAGGATACATGGCATCATTTTCATGGTAGGAAGCTATGATAAGGAAGTGTCAGAAGTTGTACTGGTCTCCATAGGAGTAAAAACAATAAGTAGGCATGCTTTGTCTATCAGTGCTTCCTTACTGTGGGAATATGTTTTTTCCTCTCATGATTGCACCTTCCGGAAGGGAGAGATGTTGATGGAGTTAGAAGTGTGGTCTCTGAAGTATACTTCTACCCGTTCAAAACAGAAAGGCAAGTGTATAATATTTTCTTTAGGATTCCAGAGAGGAAAATTGTGATAGCTAAAGCACTACCTTCTGTGTCTCCTTTTACTGAGGGATATGATCAAGCCAACAATTACATCTGAAAAATGCTAATAACTCATTTATCTAAAAAGTGCAAAGATTTAAAATATGCGCATGTCTACTACACAATTGAGTTTTAGTGAGAGCACCTCTGCTTGCAAGTCTAAATCCAGGACAAATATCAAACTGGCAAATTAACAGCATGGGTATGATTGCTTTGAAACGCACAGCGAAGCTATGGGACACGGCACAGCAGAGTCACACCACCAGCTCCTGCTCTGCTTTCTAACCCCGGCACTATCAGCTCTTTACCGTGCTGTTGGGGATTGCACCATCGTGTATCAAATACCTATATGTGTGTGCATAGGCCTGGGACCTTCCAAAAGACCTGGATGAGAAGATATCGTGAGCTGGCCATAAACTGTCATCTGATCATATGTGTTAGATATTATGTGACCAAAATGAGGAACAGTCATCTTGGACCAAGATTTTGAAACTCCGATTTTCCTCCAGTTAACTTTTCAGTACACGCCACAATCCCTGTTTTTATATCCGGACAATGCTTTTTTTCTGAAGCAGGGAAAAGTGAAACAGAGTAATATAGCTCTGAGAGTGTTCACAAAGAATTAGATCTCCCTTACTTTTCTTGTTGAGTGCCTTGAAACCCAAGGCAAATCATGTATCACTATGTTTTCAACTTTGTGACACAGAGGATCTCATACCCTCAACAAAATACCTCTGCAGAAATGATTTTATCATTTTGGTATGTAAGAGGTGAATCACTGCATTTTGTGTCTTCAGCTTTTGCTGAAGGTCTTTTTGGTCATTTGATTTTAATCTTTCAGGGGAAAGGATAACAAGCAGTTCCTACAATATACCTTTTCCTAGTTATCTCAAGCATCATTTTTCTGAGGGTTCAATTTTTGCGCATGGTGGTCCTGGAGCACTTGGTGTTGGACTGTAAAGCCTCCAAAAGAAATGCAAAAGCCCAAAGACAGATGTCTAATTGAGACATTGCAACTGGCACATCTTGTAAGAAAAATATTAGCTACTTTCTAACGCACTGCAAGATCCCTACAGGCTAGAAGGTTCCATACAGCTGGGGTCCATGCTCTTCTTGGTCTTCCTCTAAGATGCCTGTTTGCACTTTCTAGTTTAATCCCATTCTCACAGGTAAGAAGGAACACATCGCTAGGAAGCAGGCCTGAGTCTTTACTAGCACTCCTTGTATTTCATTTGTGCTCATCTTGGAGACAATAGCCATGAGGGGACAAAACCAACAGAAATGAAAGATGGGAACTGCATCCCATGTCATCACTCAGAATGATACAACAGGAAGATGCAGAAACTTTTCTCATTTCCAACTCAAACTAAAAAGCACCGCCAAAAAATTAACACAATATTGGCAAAGCAAGCCCTCACCTCTGCAGATTCTGCATTTGGCTTCAGACAAATAAGATTGCCCTCCACTGTCAGGCGGCTCAGCTTGCAACAAAGTCCCAGGTACTGGATCTGGTTGATGTCCTCAATATTGTTCCCTTCCAGGTCCAACACCTCAAGGTGATCCAACCAGGTCAGCTGGCTCAGGTCAGAGATATTGTTATAGGCTATGTAGAGCTCCTCAGCAGAAGTAAACAGAATAAATATGTAAACCACAGGCTTGCACAAGTAGCACTCAAGCTTTGCAAAATGTTTTCTAACGTTTGAAATATTACACAGCACAGCATGAAATTAGCATGGAAGTGAACATTTTTCAAGTGTGGCTGTTGCTGCCTTAAATAACTACAGCAACAAACGCTATGCTGCATTAGGCATCTTCAGGATCAGACCTGAATGTTACATCTCATTTAAAAAAAAACCCACTCTCACGTCTTTTAAACTAACACACGCAATTCAAGGCATCCAATCAAAGCCCTTTAGAAAAACAAAGGGTTAGAAGAGAACGAAGACTACAAGTAACGAGTACGAACTGAAGGTAGTTGGGAGATCACCATTTGACAGGACACATCTATACTTACTTTTAGAGAGCTGCAGGAGGAGATCCCATCTAAATCTGAGAGCCCACAGTGAGCCATCCACAGGACATGGAGATGGGACAACGTGGTTCCAAGATCCCTTATAAAAGAAACAATTCAAGCTCTATTTGAATGGATGAGGGAACTCAAGACTTGCTTTCTTTTCCCTAAGGCTGGGCCACTGCTACTTCCTTCAAATCTCACACTGTTTACAAGAAATGTCATTAAAAATGTTCACCTTCAAAGGTGGAGAATAAAATTATACCCCTTTCTACCTCTCTCTCTCACAGACATCTTTATTCTTGTATGACAACATGTCACCCCAGTTCAGTTTGATTAAAATTCTTCCAAGAGCTACATCATGGTAATTCTGTCATAAATTGCAGGTAATTGCTAAGAATTAAGTGAGGTTTGCTTATGCTGGCATCATTTGCTCTACACACATAACCCAAATTAACATATCTGAGCTGACTGCACAGTCAATTCACTCTGTCCTCTTATGGAGTTACCTTTCTTCTGATTTTTCAGCTGAAAGGAATAGCTCTGCTGCCAAATAACATTTGTTGAATCAGCAGAAAATTATAATCCTTTCCATCCTATTTTCCCACCTTTTAGGTCTAGCAAAATATATAAGGGATCATTTATATGAATTCCAAACTTTCTGGTCCTAACCCAGAAAAGCACATATTG